AACCTAATTAATTGAATATAAGAAAAAAGAAGAAAAATATTTAATAACTGACCCAAAATTGGAATATTTAGAAAGTCTGATACATAAAGATCATCGATATGTGTAACACCTGTGACAATATAAGCTTCACGACCCTTTATTAAATTTTTAATTCTAAAATTTTAAATATAACAAATGATATATTTATATATATAGCTTTTTTTCGTTCCAAATAATTACCGTTTTAAAGCTTTTGGACTATACTTAAGTAGAGTAGCTAAACACATATTATGAGCCTAAATATTTTGCAATAAAGTTTAAATAAAATACAAAACAATTCTTTTTTACATACTGGAAAACTATGTAATGCCTCAGGTACTACAATCATATACCGATCACGAGCATGATCCGGTGTAATTGCTGGTGCAAGTTCACCATTTTGTTGAATAGTTGATCGTAAATTAATCTAAGTATAGATGTTATAAACTCGAAGAAACACTTTCTATTATAGATCACTTACTAATTTATTATAATATTGTAAGAATTCCTCATTTACAGGCATTGGTGATACATAAATAATATCAACATTTGGATCATCTAATTCACATAAACGTCCTATTTGATAATTTTCTCTAATAGGTAAATTATGTAATTTATTTCTTATACGTTGTGGTAAACCTAAAGATGGTATATGAACAATAACACGACGATGTGTTGATATCGTAGACCAACGTTGTTTTAATTCATTTTGTTTTGTTCTAAAAAGTTCTAATTGACGATGGCGAATAATTTTTAATTGTTGTCGTGCTTTAGATAATTTAACAGCCATTAACCATGATAATGCAATAACACCTGCAGCCCATTTACGTTTTCGTAAACGAATATAAGCTCGACGATCGCGAAAACAACGCCAAAATGATTGAATAGCAATAGCTGCTCGTTCCTTTCCACCACTACCAATAAATTGACGACCCTAATTAATTACGAAAAAGAAAACTTCTCTTTGAAAATAAAATTCAATAAATTTTACTATTTGTTTAACCAATTCCTCAACTTCTACGCGATTAGTAACTGCACTTAGAAGTTCATCTAATGTTGGTTTATGTTCAAGTTCAATAGTTTGTGCAAGTTCAATAACTCTAAGAATTACAATTAAAGAATGATATTCATTGAAATAAAGTTTATTTTACCTATCTCCATTAATAAATGCAACTGGTATAGCATAATCATACATGATTTTTTCTAACATTCTAAATACTGTGACAATATTTCCCCACATTAAACAATAAAGTTGTCGAAATTTTAGAAAATCTTCTGTCTGATCTTTAGTTAAACCGTTTTGTATAATTAAACGAGGTTGTTTTTTATAATCAACATTGGATGCTGGTGTTGATACTGTACGAGCAACAAGACCATTCATATTATTAGTACTTGTTGTCATTAAATTATTTTTCTGTTGACGACCTGCAGATGATTTTCGTGATTCAGTTATTGTTGATGGATGAAATTTAGATGATGATGCAATAAAATTAGGATCATGTTCACTTGGATCAGTCAATGAACGGTTTGATATATGTTCTCGTATTGAAGGATGTGATGTACTCTTATCAGTGATAGCAAGTTGTTGACCAGTTCCTGGTGTAAGATGATAAATAGATGCATTTGTTTCTTCTAAAAAAAAATAGATCAAGAAAATTATTTTCCGATAAAAATTGACAATATTCCACCTCTAATAAATGTTCGTGCACGTGAAGTTGGATCATTTAGACTGGATCTTTTCGGTTGAATTGCGGGTGGATCTAATGTAATGTTAGCACCTTGTGGAATAATACCACGTTCAACTAAACTTATAATTCCTCGTTTAGCATCGTCAGATGTTAATGGAACTGGATAATCCTATGAGAATAATATATGTGTATAAATCACTGCAAAAGAAGAAATTATTAACATTCTTACAATAGGATTACGTCGAGTTTTATATGGTAAAATTCCAGCTGGTTCAGTTGTTTTTCCTGACATAACATTTCGTGATATTGGCTACATATAAAATAACATAAGAAATAAATGACAGAAAGAAAAATAGAAAAATTACAGTTCGTTGTTGTTGTTGCTGTTTCTCAATTACTGGTAATTGAATACCATAATTATCATGTAATACTTGGCGATTACGTTTATTAAATGGATTACGTATTATTTTAGTTTGATATTGTTGACGAGCTACAACACCTGGTGGTGCTAAACGCTGTTGTTGAGCACCTATAGAAATAATTGGTATATTTTCATTATATTTCTGATGACTAGAAGAACAAAAAGAAGATTTTATTTTCTATATATAATTATATTGATTACATTGCAGTCACAGCTGAATTATTATGCTGTCTTCCTTGTGCAAGTCCACCACCATTATGTTGATATTGATCAAACATCGAACCATTTTGAAATTTTTGTTGTGCGCCATGTACTTGATTGAAGCTTAATGTAGCAACCGTATTTCCATTGAGCATATTTAATACATCATCTGTTCTTTCCTACAAAAATTTATAATTGAAACTCAGATTTATAGAAATGATATACATACCTTTACAGTGTGTTCTGCTCGAGTAAGCATTTCCGATAAATTATTTATATCAGAATGTTTATCATGCTGTTGTTTAGAGATAAATGTTTTAAGTGTACGAAATTCATCACGAATCTATAATAAAAAAATATATATAATTCAAAAGAATAATAAATGATTATTTATTACTTCTTGAAGCATATCGCACACTTTTTCTGCGCGTGGATTGCCATTATTATTACTATTCGATGTTGGTACCAAGGCCATCATTTTGATTATAAATTAAATATTCTAAAAATTAATAACGCGCGTAAATCATTCTATTTGATTCTTATTTTCTTTTTGTTATCAGTATTGCGCCAAAAACAAACAAAAAATTTTATATATATAAATAAAAACAAATAATGCAATACGGAGGAAATGGAAATAGTTTTGGCAATTCTATAACGAATGGATCTTATTCATTTTCTAATCCAATATTTGCTTCATTAGCTGGTTATTCATCTATGGCACTTCTAAAAATGCTTGGTATGTCAACTTATACAATTATTCAACGTTTTCGCACAGGAAATTTTCCTACACCAGAAGATAATATTTATAAACAATTAATGAATCAATTAGGTCTTTCTACTACTAATAATAATAATCTAGGAAATAAAAATGATACAATTGAACGTGCACGAGAAAATCATTTAAATGATTTGGAAAATATTATACCATTTATCTTAGTTGGCCTATTTTATGTTGGTACACGACCAAAATTTGATTGTGCACTTTGGCATTTTCGAATCTTTCTTCTTTCTCGTATACTATATACTATTGCTTATCAAGTATATTAACAGATTCTTTCGTTTTTTTTGTTATTTTTCGATTAATATTCATGATTTATAGGTTCCATTACCTCAACCAACACGTACAATTTCATGGTTAATAGGTTATTCAAGTATAATTTCAATGTCAATACCAATACTTCGTTCCATACAATTCTAAATAAAGCAGCTGATCTGAACTCACTTGTAGATCAAAGAAAAATATGTTTAAACGTAAATGAATGAATGATAAATATAAAGTAGAATGTAAAAGAAATATTATCGAGTATTTTTCTTTTTCAACAAAATTCAAAACTTTCAAAATCATTTGAATTGTACGATGTCTCGGTAACAGACCTCTATGAAATTTTTCTTATTCTTCAAAAAGAAGAAAGAAAAACAGAAGGTGATGTAATACAAATGGTAAGTTCAATCAACCAATAAATTGATTTCTTTCTGAACACAAAGAAACGATGTGACGCTGTCGCATTATGATAAAAGATATTTTCTTTCTTTTTTTCCTTGTGTTTGTACACTCAAGGTTTTTGTATCATCTTGTTTTAAATAACCAGATGGTACTCGAAGTAATCGATGAAAGATGAGAATTATTCGAGTGTTCAACCAAAAAGAAGCAAAAAAAAAGAATTCTTCTATATCTTTTACAACCTCATTTGATTAGATATATATATATATTGTTATGCAATAAGAATGAATAATAGGAATATATATATGTTGTCGACAGGTCGAGGTTGACACAAGTTTCTAACTCTTATGATATATATATAAGATTGCAAGTCAGTTAGCATCATTGTCGTTCTTGTTACCTTCATCATATCATAGTAAATAAGGTCATTCTCTCAGATTAGGAATTGTTTATACAAATGATCTTGTCTATTTTGTCATATCATTAATACACATTCAGTATGCTTACATCTATTTGATATATATATATGTGTATGTATGTATGTATATATTACTTGAACATAGAAAAAAAAAGAACTCTAATATCAACATTCTAAACATGCACATGTTTCTTCGTTTTTCTAATCAAGAAGTTTCAACTAATGAATATTATACATGTTTGCTTTATTCGCCGCCATTATCGATCAATCTATTCTAATCTAATTATGCTGATTACTTTTCTGTCCAGACAATCAGAGTGAACGATGATGATCACGATCATTTTTGGTCATTCACTGTCTACCAATATACACTTGTATCGCAATGATCGATCATCATTAAAGAACATCATATATGATTTGATTGCATCACTCTAACATGAGAGGTCAGGTCGCAGATAGAGATCGATCTAATAGTTATTGGATGAACAGGGTGTGACAGCTGTTACTCTCTGCTGACCCTGAGACGCTTTTTTTTTGCTCTTTTTTTCTTCTCTTTTTCCTCTTTCGCTCTCTGTCTCTCTCTCTCTAAGTCTCTCCTTCTCTCTTTACAACCATCGATAAATAAATTATATTTGTATTCACTTGTAGATCAGTATTTTGCCAATGAGAATGTTTGGCTCCTTTGAATATCAACCCTCTTCACCTATTTCATCTTCTTGCGATATAGAATCAATGGATGAAATGCCACCCCCATCAGCATCATCAATTCTTTCACTTAACGATGATCTTACAATATCAAATCGATTAAATACAACAACAACACAAAATTCAGTATCACTTCGATTTAAAGTTTGTTTCATAAAATATCATTTTTGTTTTAATATTTATTTATTTTCTTGAAGAAAAAACGAAAACGTAAACTTGAACCAGATTCTGTATCACTTCGTTCACTTGAAGATTTAGTTGGTGATCATTTTCAACGAAAAAAACGTTTATCTCTTCCACGTTTATCATCTGTCTCCGAATTATTAAGTCCAATGTGTGATCGTGTAATAAATATGCTTCAAACAACAAAACAATCTTCATCAGCTAATTTATTAAATCTTATTAATCATAATACAAATCAAAATTCTAATATACGTCGTAAACCATCATCACAAACAACTTCAAATACGATTTCATCACCAAATACAATAAAAAAATTTCGTGCCGCTTGGTCAGAAACATGTGATGGAGAAAAATTAAAACAAACAATGACAGCAACAGAAATTGAACGACAAAATGTTCTTTATGAATTATTTTCCGAAGAACAACAAATGATAGAAAATCTAGGTTTAGCACAACGAGTAAAGACACTATGAAATTAGTTTAAATAATAAGCAAAAATATTTCTTTTTATATAGGTTTATCGAAATGGTATGAAAACATTAAATATACTAACAGATTTAGAATTAAAACAAATATTTGGACCACTTGAAGATATTTTACCATTACATGAAGGTAAATTTTTCTTTCAAATGATTCAATTATAATATATATGATTTTCTTCAATAGATCTTCTCTATCGTTTGAAACCAAAAGGTAATTCATCTATTGATGCTGTCGGTCAAATTTATCTTGAATGGGTATGTTAACTATAGTTTTATTTTATTAAATAAATTTTGATATGAGTTTAGTTTCAACGTATTCGTTCATCTTATGTTTCATATTGTTCAAATTTAATTAATGCGAAAGAATTATTAGATGCCAAACGTTGTGAAGAAAATGGTCGTGTTGATGATTATCTTAAACGCTGTACTGATTCAGGTTTCAGTCGAAAACTTGATCTTTGGGATTTTCTTGGTATATTTTCATTGAATTTTATTTCTATTATTTTATCTATTCATATTTAAAGATCAACCACGTAGTCGTTTAATGAAATATCCAATTCTATTCAAACGTATTCATAAACGAGTAAGATTACAGACA